AGACATTTGGGCGAACTCAGTAAACACAGGAATAACTGCGTGCATAGCCGTGGGCACCTGGAGGACTCCATCAGCTCAAATCATTAGTTCGGAGATTTAACACAGGAAGACCAGTGTCCCTCTGGAGAAACCAATGTGTATTTCCACAATTTTTGTCTTAGAGAAACCACTGTGCATATATCCAATCTCTGTCTCTTAATCCTCACAGCTATGCATATTTCTCTGCATTCAACATTTGAGAAACTATGTTCAGAAAGGTTGAAAAAGTTGCCCAGTGTCCCAAGTATGTAAGCAACAGGTTGGGATTTAAGTCCAAGTCCAACGAAGACTTTGATCTTTCTGCTGCTCTGTGCCGATCGGTGGGGTGTGGCCTTGCAGCTCCTCAGAGACATGTGCCCTTAGAAGGAGACACGCATGAGACGTTTTCCACTCATTCAAGTGGCAGGGCCAAGTGGCAGGCATTCAATGGTGCCACCCCAGAGCCTGCAGTCTGGTGAGCAATGGCGATCTTATGTTACTGTGAGCCTATGACATGCCCAGCACTGCGTCTGTGAGTTGAGTCACACACGTGTCTCGTAAGCAGCGGTAAGAAGCAGAAGTACCGTCTATTGAACAGAGAGGGTGCCGATGCTCAGACAGCCTGAGGAGTGGCCCAGACACCCCAGCCAGCCCATCCTGCTGCCCGCACTCAGGTGGGCCTGGCATGTGATCGTCACCTTTCCTTGTTCCTGCATTAGGAGCTCACCGAGACCTTGAAGTCGGAGCTGAGTGGCAAGTTTGAGAGGCTCATTGTGGCCCTCATGTACCCGCCATACAGATACGAAGCCAGGGAGCTGCATGATGCCATGAAGGTAACTCGGCAGGCGGGTGGGGAGGGCAGAAATGCTTGCATTGACTAGGTGGGGGAACAATGCCCAGGACTTGGCACGGGCAGCTCTGGCTCCCCTGGTGCCACCATGGGGCATGGCCATCTGGACCCTGGCTTAGCCCAGCAAGCTTGCAGCCTGCTGCTGAAACCAGGATTGCCCAGCCACTGACATCGCATGGCCATGATGAAGCCAAAATCAGTACTTCTCAGAACATCACTGGACCAGGTGTGCAGCAGAACTAGAAACCAACCTCTGTAGTCCCAGCACGGCCTTCGGGCTCCCCTTTACTTTCCACCAGTGCTCTTGCTTTTGCAGATTAGGAAGGCGTGGGGACCAGGAACAGTGATCATTTCCACTGAGAGGACACTCGCTGTGCCAGGCACTTTATATCTATGGTCTCTAATCCATCTTCAGGGTGGGGCAGATTATTATCCCAGTTTATGGATGAGGGGGCTTAGGCTCTGGGTGGTAGAGCGACCTGAGACCACCCAGCTAAGGACGGAGAGCTGAGACAGCTTCCTCACCACCCCACCTGCCCTTAGTACCCCTCACTGAAGACAAACATGGAGCATCTGCCAGCAGAGCCCCAGCAGAGGGGACAGAGCAGGGATGGTGCTTCTTCCTGAGGCTCAGGTGTCCTGAGAAAAGAGGGTGTGGACAGAGCAGGAGGCCCGGGCAGAGCTCTCCAGCATGCAGAGGTTTCTGTCTATAGGGCTTGGGAACCAAAGAGGGCGTCATCATTGAGATCCTGGCCTCTCGGACCAAGAACCAGCTACAGGAGATAATGAAGGCATACAAGGAGGGTAAGGGGGCTACGGAGGTGGAGGGGTGCGGGGGCCTGAATCAAAGCCTCACTTGGGAATGGACACAAGCTTCGGCAACCTGGCAGGGAACAAGGGTCAGGCAGCATACTGGGCCACATTAGAAAGGACCCTTTCTGGCCTTTTCCACCAATGGATTCAGAGAACCTGCTGTGTGCCTAGTCCTGTGCCTGACGGTGCAACTGGACATGACTCAGACCTCCAGGCTCACCAGCTCCTGGGGAGGGGGCATGCACCCAGCTAAACTCTCTGCCCCTCGAGGGCCGTGCAGTGTGGAGGGCCACAGGCTGCATCAGCGGCAGACAGGGCTGGCTCCCTCCTGGCTGGGCACAGGCTGACCCAGGGGACGGCCGAGGGCCATCTGCCAGGGCCCCATCGTAGTGGGGCTGTGGACTACAGGCTAGTTATCATAGTCTACAGGATGCTGGGCCAGCGGAGGCTGGCCAGGCCTCCACATTGTGTCCCTACTGGGGACTGTGCCAAAAGCTTTGGCTTTGCCAAACTTTGCAACAAAGTGCAGTTCGATCGGAGTTCGATCGGTCGCCCCTGGCTTGGCTCTCTGGCCTGGTCCACCTCTGTGCTTTGAGCTTGGGTGCACATCCATGTCCCTTCTAGTTCTGAACAACCATGTGGTGACAGACCTCTGCCCCTCGGACACCTGGGCGTCACATCCAGGCCCCGTGCCACAGACTCATCCTTTCTAGAAGTCCCTAATCAGGATGAGTGTGGGAGATGGTGCTGGAAGGAGGAAAGTGGGCCTTGCTAGGCCCTGCGTCTCTGCCCATGCCTCCTGGTCCTCTTGTCCCTGCAGACTATGGGTCCAGCCTGGAGGAAGACATCCAAGCAGACACGAGTGGCTACCTGGAGAGGATCCTGGTGTGCCTCCTGCAGGTATCACAGCCTAGGCTCCTGGCAACCCCTTGGCTTGGGGATCCCAACAGCTCCACCCCAGGGAGCAGCTCTTGAGCAGAGTTGCTAGGGTGGGGGTTGGGACATGGGCTCATCGAGTGCATGTCGGCATGGATAGAGGGTCCTGACTGCAGAGCCCCACACCTCTCCTGGCCTCAGAAGCAGGAGGAGAAGCTCCCTTTCACCCAGAAGTTCCTTCGTGCCACACTCCAGGCCAGGCACTCTGTTTGCCTTAGCTCGCTGAGCCCCCATGCCCATGAGGCAGCCCACTTCACAGATGAGAAACAGAGGCCTGGAGAGGATGACTGGCTGCTGAAAGTCCTGCCGCCGAGCAGCAGCAGAGCCCTGCCTGCCCTCCGAGCCTGGCTCTCCCCTTGGCCCAGCTGCTCTTGTCAGGCAGCCTGCCTTACAGAGCTGCCTCCTCTGTTCCTAGGGCAGCAGGGATGATGTGAGCAGCTTTGTGGACCCAGGGCTGGCACTCCAGGATGCACAGGTGAGGCTGGACCCCGCTGGCCACGTGGCCCCACCCCCTGCCATCTGGACTCCAGGGACTGATGCCCGAAAGCCTCACCGGGCACCTCTGCCCATGGGGCTTTATTTGATGCCAGGCCAGGCCCACTCAGCTCAGCCTTTACCCTGTGGGGTCCGAGGAGGAGAGTGACGTTGCTGGGGAGACTCAGGAGGAGGAAGGGGCATGACTGGGGTAGGGGGCACTAAAGCTCTGTCCAGCAGGACCTTGGCGTTCAGTGCTGCCCAGAGGCAGAGTGAGGCCAGAGGAGGGTGGGGGGACTTCCCAGGGTAGCTTCCACCCAACGTAGAGAAGAGCTTTTAAGCCAGAGCAGCTGGAGGACGAGAGCTCGGGGGTCGTGAGCTCAGCATCAGAGCCGGCCACGTAGAGGAGAACGCTGGCCTGCGGATGCACGGGGCTGGCCGTCGGCCCCAGCTCTGGGCCTCCAGGGTTCCGTCCCTCAGCTCCTTGGCCTCCTTCACCAGCTTGTTGTCGCTGTCCCAATGCCAGGATCTGTATGCTGCGGGGGAGAAGATTCGCGGGACTGACGAGATGAAATTCATCACCATCCTGTGCACGCGTAGTGCCACTCACCTGATGAGAGGTGCCGCAGGGGTGCCCTAGCAGATGTCTGGTGTGCGGCCTTGGCAAGGAATGGGGCTGGGGAGAGAGCCAGGGAGCCCTGGACTCTTCCACTGGCAAACACGTGGGAGGTCAGGGTGGCGCATTAACGTGTAGGCTCCGCCTGTCCCCTACCTGGAGCCCTCTCTCCACAGTGTTTGAGGAATATGAGAAAATCGCCAACAAGAGCATCGAGGACAGCATCAAGAGTGAGACCCACGGCTCACTGGAGGAGGCCATGCTCACCGTGGGTAAGCGCAGGGCTCAGCGTGGGCCATGCCAGAGAGCAGAGGGCTGGGAGGCGACAGCAAGTGGCTGGATTCCTAGGGTCACCTGCAAGGGAACACCCCCGGTCCACACTCTCAGCCTGTGCCCTGCAGCCCAGGACCCTGGGGCTGTTCCACTCCTATAGTTTCAGTGTATCCTACCAAGGAATGTTCTCGGTGCTGCCTGCATGGTGCACAGTGTGGTGTGAGTGTGCACAGGTGAGTGTGACTGTGTGTAAGTGTGTGCAGAAGTTCATGTGGGTGAGTGGGTGTGAGAGTGTTAGGCGGAAGGTGCGTGAGTGTGTGTGCGTTTGTGAACATAAGTGTGTGAGTGCGTATGTGGGTGTGAGTGTGTGCTGGAGAGACGGTGGGGGTTGTGTATGCACGCACACATTCGTGACTCTGCCAGACCCGGGCCCTGGGCGTGCCCACAGCAGCCACACAGGAAGCATTCAGTTTCTGGTTCCAGTTCTAATTCTGAAGCCCTGAACAAAGTCACCTTTCTGAACCTGAGCCAGGGGCCTGGTCCCTGCCTTAGTTGCCGATTGAAGAAGTGACAATACGTGGTTTGAGTCCAAACTGACGCATGTGTGTCCTGACGCTGGGGACCGTTGAGAGCTTCCCCACAGCAGGAGGTTGGGTCCCCTTAGGAGACCCATTCCAGAGCACATCCTCAGGCTCAGAGCTGAGATCATAATGGGAAGAATCATTGCCGAGCAGAGAACTGAGGCCCGGGGTGAGGGGCCTCCCTCCCATGGGAGCCGTGGTCAGGGCTGCAGGGCTGGGTACTCCCCTCCACACCGGCTGTCTCTGTGCAGAGCTGGGCCCGCCTCTCGGGGTGGACGGGGACATCTGAGATTCCGCAGCTGCTTCGACTGCTGTAACATAATCCAGTCTATGTTGGAGCATCTAAGCACACCCCCTGCTCCAGTCTCAGCTTCCAGCATCAGCCTCTAGATGGTCTCTGAACACATGCTGCATAGTTTTTGGGCAGGAACTGCAAAGGCACGCAGTACCCCGATGCCAAACACCTCCTGTCCATTTCCCCCTGAAGCCTCATGTCACTCCCACTGTACAGATGGGACAGGAGGCCAAGTAACGAAGCCAAGCAGCAGCATCGAGGCAGGGGTTGAACACACGTCCACACTCCTTCTGCAGCCCTAGGTTAAAATGCCAGCCTCCCCCATCCAGATGCCCAGTCTCTGAAGCAGCACCCATGAAAGCAAGCATGGGCCAGCTCCCAGGACCGGATGCCCCTGAGTGCCTTAGTCCTCTGGGGCTGAGCCCCACCTTTTGCATGGGAATTCAACATGCAGGGTTCCTGCTAATAAGTGACACACAGAGAGGGCACTCTGAGGCCAGCGACCACCATACTGTGGCTCCTCTGTGGAGCTGAGTGGCTAGATTATTGGCAGAGCTGTCTCTGCGTGTGAGAGCCCAGAGGCAGCTATGGGTCTGAGCTGTCCTCTGATAGGTCTGAGCTGGTGTCCCCAGAATAGCCCAGCGGGTTCTCACTCTTTTACATGCCTGCCCCAGGTCATTGGAGCTGCACCCAGTGCCCCAGCCTTCATTTCCTGGCCCACCCCACTTGACACAAAGCCTCCTGTTATAACACTAGGCAGGGCATATAAACTAGGCCGAGCTTGCACAATGCTAAGCCTTAAGACCTGAGGCAAGCAATGCCACCCACACCCTCCAGCTGTTAACAGAGCTTTCCTATTTGCCAGTGAAATGCACCCGGAACCTCCACAGCTACTTTGCAGAGAGACTCTACTATGCCATGAAGGTAACTGTCCTTCTGCCCCCCTTACAATCAGCCCTACATGGTACCAACTGCAAAGCCAAGGAGCTCAGAGCCACCACCATCTTCAACACTGGGGTCTTCTCTTATCCCAGCCTCTTGTGTGTCAGAAGGGTTTTGATCCTCACAGGGCAAACTGAGTCTGGGAAAGGGAAGCCACATTCCCTAAAGGTGAATTTGAGCAGGTGCATTCACTGGTGTTCATTGCAATCAACTTTTACAATGATCCCGTGAGGCCCGTGTGGTAATTGCCATCTTAGAGATTGTTAAACTAAGGCTCGAGGTCAAAGTCACACAGCTGCTAAGTGGCAGAGCCTCAACATGAACCAAGCCAGTCCCTTTCATTGTACCATGTGGCCTCCTTGAGAGAGTGGATTTGCTACTAGAGATCACAGGTGGGTTTGCAGGAATCGAGGCATCCTTGGTATGGACATTTCCAAGGGAGATTGTCACACAGGGCAGCTTAGTTGTCCTACATGTGCTGGGGTGCCAATCTGTTTGCCTGTTGTCCAAAAGGCTACATGAGCCGCAAAAATAAATGCCCAAACCACTTAGATCAGATGGAATTTCTGGTGTCTGAAACCAAACTGGAAGACAGATAGTTGAATTAATTCCCTGAGACCAAAGTCAGTGCCCACCTGCTCTGACTTATGGTTGCTGACACCCCTGTGATAAGATCTATACCAGAACCCCCCAAGCTCTCTGGCCAGTCTACCCGAGAAGCGAGAGGGCTGGGATTCCGCGGCCATGCGGCTGCCTCTGACGTGAGATGGTCAGTGTTGAAAGCGAGCAGGAAGGCCCTGCGTGTGAAATGGCCAGCGAAGTTGACTTTGATGCTGGTGCCGCTCAAGGAAGAAGTACTCTTCCTGGAGCAGGGAGTGTTTTGCATCCAGAATCGGATCTGGCAAACCGAACACCCACTGCAGTTTGGGGCACTCTGCTTCTAACACGGGAGGCGACGTGGGCAGTGGGTGAGAAGAGGTGAAGGGAACGGAAGCCCTAAGCCACTGAGCAGCCCTCACCGTGCTTACCCCGCTGCAGCAGAGGCTCGCTCCTGCAGCTCCCTCCCTCTGCGAGCCCCAGAATCTGACGGCAAAGGCGTTGGAGCATCTAAGCACACCCCCTGCTCCAGTCTCAGCTTCCACCATCAGCCCCTAGATGGGCTCTGAACACATCCTGCATAGTTTTTGGGCAGGAACTGCAAAGGCACGCAGTACCCCGATGCCAAACACCTCCTGTCCATTTCCCCCTGAAGCCTCATGTCACTCCCACTGCACAGATGGGACAGGAGGCCGAGTAACGAAGACAAGCAGCAGCATCGAGGCAGGGGTTGAACACACGTCCACACTCCTTCTGCAGCCCGAGGTTAAAATGCCAGCCTCCCCCATCCAGACGCCCAGTCTCTGAAGCAGCACCCATGAAAGCAAGCATGGGCCAGCTCCCAGGACCGGATGCCCCTGAGTGCCTTAGTCCTCTGGGGCTGAGCCCCACCTTTTGTATGGGAATTCAACATGCAGGGTTCCTGCTAATAAGTGACACACAGAGAGGGCACTTTGAGGCCAGCGACCACCATACTGTGGCTCCTCTGTGGAGCTGAGTGGCTAGATTATTGGCAGAGCTGTCTCTGCATGTGAGAGCCCAGAGGCTGCTCTGGGTCTGAGCTGTTCTCTGATAGGTCTGAGCTGGTGTCCCCAGAAGAGCCTGGCAGGCTCAGTGCATTTCACCTCTCACCCTTTTACCTGCCTGCCCCAGGTCATTGGAGCTGTGTCCAGTGCCCCAGCCTTCCTTCCCTGTCCCACCCCACTTAACACAAAGCCTCCCGTTATGGCACTAGGCAGGGCATATAAACTAGGCCGAGCTTGCACAATGCTAAGCCTTAAGACCTGAGGCAAGCAATGCCACCCACACCCTCCAGCTGTTAACAGAGCTTTCCTATTTGCCAGTGAAATGCACCCGGAACCTCCACAGCTACTTTGCAGAGAGACTCTACTATGCCATGAAGGTAACTGTCCTTCTGCCCCCCTTACAATCAGCCCTACATGGTACCAACTGCAAAGCCAAGGAGCTCAGAGCCACCACCATCTTCAACACTGGGGTCTTCTCTTATCCCAGCCTCTTGTGTGTCAGAAGGGTTTTGATCCTCACAGGGCAAACTGAGTCTGGGAAAGGGAAGCCACATTCCCTAAAAAAAGTCCTGGAGCCTTCAAAACACACAGCGATTATCACACTGCTATAACTTCCAGAGAAAGAGCTCGTCTGGCAATCAGCCCAGGCTGCTGCTGCGTCACCCGCAGGCAGTCTCAACTGTCTGTCATGAATTCTTCCAACCACACATGGTCACTAATAGCCTTGGAGAGATTTCTATTCCTTCTCACCATTCCAGTTACATAGGTCATACTTCAGAAGAAGAAAAACGTCGTTAGGTAAAAATGCTCACCTCAGCCCATCCAAGGTGTAGACCCGTCCGAGATGTAGACCCCGCGAGAGAGACAGACTCAGCAGCTGATTACTGCACGACCACTAATGCAGCCCCTCATCTAGAGACCCGTGAAGCCCCTCCTCTTAGGGTTTGGCCTAATGTTGTCACTGAAGAAAACTTAGGTTAAATTGTGAGTAAGTTGACCAAACATTTTCTTTGTAAGATCGACCACTCTCCATTCTACAGATGTCATCAAAGCAAAAATGATTTCCAACAGTAATGTGAGCGTTTAAAACTCCTGCGTAGGAGGAGTCTGTAGGAAAACGTGTAAAAACTCCACACAAACACATCCATTTTAAAAAGCAGACAAAATTGCTTTCCTAAAAAAGAAAACGACATTGCACAAATTGTCTGAAAAGTAGTAAAAACAAAAAAGGGG